CCAGCTGCTGCCACAGACAAAAAGAAGCAACTGGCTGCTCAGGCTGGGGATATGCCACCATGATTCAGCTCTCAGAGTCTCATGTGGCCGGCTACCAGCAGAGACAATACTGCCAAAGCCTTCAAATTGCTTCCCTTGAGCTGACCGGATGACTGGGAGGATATTTAGAGCAGTTGATGTCACATTCAAAAATATACACATTATATCTGATTTCCATTCATATATGTATTCAGTCTAGCATAACCAGATCACCGGCTGCAACTAATGATTATTTTTATAACTGAATACTCTGCTGGTTATTTTCTTATTTATAAAATCTTTTTAAAATAAAATTAGTTTTTTTTTTTTACTTTTTATTAAAACTTTTTTTTAAAACTGCTAAATATTAAAATTTCTCAGAGACAAAGGAACCATCTGTAAATTACTTGTTTCATTTATTTAGCAGCCCAAAACAAAAAAATATTCAATTTTACATATATGCATTTGTTAATTTGAGAGTAAAAAAAAAGTAAAAATTCTGGGTATTTTTTTTTTTTAAAAACAACCTAAACAATTACCAAATTAAATGCTGCTAAGTCTCAACTTCAGATTCTACTAAGATAACATTCAATCATCTGTATTTTTTCAGCCAGTACACAATCTTATTTTATTACATCATGACAGCATTTACTGTGAGGCTGAAGAGCACAAAGAATCACTGTGCTAAAAATGGACCATGGAAGTTTGGGTGTAGCAGCTGTGTGCACGAACAGTTGACAGCCACAGATACCAGTAGTCCTGTCCACCAATCAGCATGGTTCTGCCTTTTCTGTATGGAGTGTATTATTGTCCAGCCGCTTGCTTGTGCGTGCGTTTCTGTGAGTTTGTGTGTGAGAATATTGCTAACACACTTCTCTCACTGAGATCATTTCAGTGCTGCAAATACTGTATTTACTTGGCTTTACTATTTTTTTTTGAAGATAAATAGTGTCAATATGCACACAGTCATGTGTTTTAGTACTAAATGTTAAAACAGGCATTAGGAAGGTCATTACTGATGTGTCTGGATCAATAGAATCTTATATTGTTAAGTCTTATTTCTGTGGCTTGGTAAAGTGTGTGAGGGACGTGTAGAGTAGGTAGCATTTCCCCCGTGGGCAGCACTAAATATAGACCAGAATACAGCACTTGTCACGGAGCATCTAACATGTAATTTAAGGAGCAGGCGAGAGCAGAAAGAGGAGCCACTTTCCTAAAGCCACAGCAGATTCAGCAAAGTCAGCAGAGTTGTAAAACACTTTGCAATATACATACTTTCTTATTTAGGGACTGTATGAAAATTATTGGGAAGGGGAGGGAGAATTATGGAGATTGGGAGGGAACATAGCAGAGAAAAAAAGTTGTTGGTTAAAAACAAAGGCGTCCAGATAGCCCAATGGTTACATGTGGTGCAACATATACGCAGCACAGTGCATGTGCAAATTCATCGGTTTGAAGCGAGGTCTGCTCCTGTTAGATCGGCTCGAACACAGGGGTGAGCGAGTCACAAAAATATGACGGACCCAGGTGGCTGACTTCAGTGCAAGCAGTGCTAAGTTTAATTACAGTGAAATATAACAAGGAAATGAATAATCAGGTAGAAGTGGGACCGGGTGTCGAGCTGCAGAAGTGAATACAGTCAGTGGCTGAATGATGAGGAGAAGACCGGGCTGCGGACGCTGGGACTCACTCCTGGGCTGGTCGTGGTGGAAAGTACTGAGGAAGAACAGAGTTTGTACATACAGTTAGTAGGAGACTGTGCATCGACCTGTGTGGTGGAGAAGGAGCCGGGTAGAGGAGGTCCGTGGTCCGGAGAAGCGACAGAGGCGAGGAGGAATGAAACAAAGGAGCTAAAGACTGGAACAGAGCTAGGGCGACAAAACGTGAAG